CACTCAGTAAATGCAAATGATTGTCATCTAACAGCTTTAAAGAAATGTAAGCGACAAGGAAATATAATAAATTACATAAAGGGAATAGGAGTGCAGGTCCTTATTACAATATCGTTTTACTAGTGATGTCATGCACCAGTTTGACAGCTGACTCACCATATTAATAACAGAGGCATGGCCCATTATTCTATCACTGCTTCAAGCTGACATAGAAGTGGATAGAAGCCTTGTAAAGTTGAAAAATTCAGAAATCACCCTGGGTAAAAGTTGGCTCAGTTGTTAAAGCAGAACTCCAATCAATAACAAGATAAGGCTGAAAAGCCTGTTAAAATATAGAATAACAAAGCTAGCTTTTGATACAATATTCACTTTCAATCCAGATTTCCTCTGCAATACTTTTTCTGCTGCTAGATGTCCTCAGTCTGACGATATCAACCCACCTTCCTCTGAGCCCAGGTCTTTCTGGACTACCCTTACCCTGTGACTGGAATAAAAGAAGTGATGAGCTCATCTTTCTGTCACTCTGCTTTCTTCCGCTATCAGCATGTTTGTCTGCACATGAACTGATTGGCTCTCTGTTCTGCTTCTTCCACTCTCAGTGTAAGCCCGGCTCTACAGGGATAGCAAAAGATGATACCGTGTCAATTTCAGGTACTTAATTTGCTTATGTAATATGTATTAATGAATACAGAGCTGCATTGATTTGTGTCTTTTAGGGTTAGTTCACACCATAGGCAGTGCGTTCCGGTCCGATTCTGGCCGGAACGCACTGCATCGCGGCCGGTTCACTTTTTTGCCGAGCTGGAGGGGGCGTGACGGGCCATTGAAGTGAACGGCACCGTAGCCACGCCCTACGACCACAAAGCGATCGCCTGCACGGGATCGCAAGGCACATTGTGCTTGCAGTGCGGTCCGGTGCGATCAAAATAGTGCTTGCAGCATTTTGATCGCACCGCGCTGCAGCCACAAATGTGCCTTGCGATCTCGTGCAGGCGATCACATTGCGGCCAGAGGGCGTGACTACGGTGCCACTCACTTCAATGGCCCGTCACGCCCCCTCCAGCTCGGCAAAAAAGTGAGCCGGCCGCAATGCGAGGGAGTGCGTTCCGGCCAGAATCGTACTGAAACGCACTGCGTATAGTGTGAACGAACCCTTATAGCTGTGTGGAGTTCATCTGTAAACTATTAATCTCCTCACCCTCTTTGTAATGGAGATGCACAAAGGAAGACCTATTTAAAGACTAACCTAATGACAACTATGGTTCCCTCCATACCTACAGTGAAACAAGTGTAGTCACCCAGGGACAGGAAATGTGTTATTCGTAGTATAAAAAGGTTAAAAAAAAAAGAAAACACATGCAGCAACCTCATCTAAGGGGTGGCAAGAGGCAATATATTATATGGGGTTTTGTTTTTTTTTAGCACAAACCCATGCAGCCAGAGCCAGTTTTTCAATTACTTGCACATTTTTGGCCATGAAAATTGCTTAATGGCCCCTAAAATTATATATTTTCTGAAAGCAGTGACCCTGGAGAATAAAGTGGTGGCAGTTGCACTAATATCATGTGACATAAAAATTTGCAAGTTTGTCAAACCCAAATTTCCATTAACAAAATGCATTAAAATGTATTGTGATGCACACAATATAATACCCAATGTTTTGGTAAAATGTAAAAGATAAAGGTTGCGAAGAGTGAATAGATGCCACACGTCAAGCCTCAAAATTCTGTGCACCCCTAAAACCAAGTAAAACTTTAATACCCAGTATAGTCCATAGGTAACGCTTGAAAAAAGCCTTTACAGGTCATCACTTTACAGTTAACTGTGAATAACAGGACCAGAATGATTGCTCTCACTCTGGCGTGCGCAGCGATACCCAAAGTGTGGAGCAATTGTCCTTTTCATAAGTAGGCACACCCGACACATGTATGTGCGTGTATGCGGGGGAAGGGGGCTTTGGAAATGTTTTTGGGAGTTTATTAATTGTATTTAACTTTTTTTTTTACACTTAACTTTTTTGCTATCATATAGGGGGCTGAGACATAAGGGGTCTAATAGACTTCTAATGTCACCTATGCATCCCCAATGAAGCTGATCAAGTAGAGATCAAGGTTTATCAGCTTCTTCTACGACAGCTCAGAAAGGTAAAGTGACAAAAGTATGGATGAGATGAAGCTGACCTACCAGGACATGTCCTAGATGAATGCACGAACAGACAGGGTAGGCTCCACCTTTCTCTTACTGATTTATCATCACCCACAATGGGTTTTGATGTAAACTGGAATTCGTAAGCTTATATAAACAGATGAGGGATCCACACCCATATCGAGCACATCTACAAACAGTTATATGCCATACTTACACATACTGTTTTGTGCATTCTGAATTTTCAAACACTGGCAAAAGGTGACTGAGAACAATGATGCAAGTTATGTAAAGTGGATATAGTGCACAGTATACATTATAACCAAGACCACGCAACTAGCATTTTCATAAGGGGTTGAGCAATGGTACCTTGCACATTTCTCTCAGTACAGGCGTACTTTTGATGCTAATAGCTAGGAACAGCAAACACATTAGTTTCATGTCATGGCGTGTATCCAACTTCCTGCAGGCTCCTGCTTCTTGTAAAAATCCTCCATTCATGCAACCTTCATAGCTGCAGGATACTGCCCTAAGCGGCTATTTTCTGGTGCTGTATGGGTTACCAGTAGCCACTGCTACCATGAGAAGTTGAGCTGGTCACCTGCCCCTTCATGCCATCTCCTTTAGTCAGACAACCCATACTACTATTCTCCCACAATACATTCCATTCTGTGTATAGGCGGTGGAGATCCTGTCATTCATCCACTCCTCCTCTATTCACAGGAAGTGATGCATTCTGGGAGAATAGTAGTTCAATTTCTCTGAATGGAGGAGAGGACATGAAGGTGGTGGGCGAGTGGTGCAACTCTTCACACTTGCAGTCACTTGTGTTAACCAAACAACGCAGGAAGATAGCCGCTCAGGGCAATATCTGGCAGCTATGAAGGCAGCAGGAAAGGAGAATTATTACAAGAAGCAAGCAGCAGCCTGCATGAGGTGGGATACACACCTAGTACAATATGTTTGGTGCTATATCCCCCCCTCCCCCCAAAGAAAAAAAAGAATTACTAAACTTCAGCTTTAATTAGCCTCCTCACATCATGTTATGATTTTTACTGGAGTGGTTTACATTGTACATATGTATTAATGCTGTGCTGTGATTTTTATCTTTATTCCTTTTATCCCATTACATATCAGTTCAGGTATCTTAGCATGCAACACTTATTAATGTGGGGTTTGGGATTGATATGTTTACTTTTGTGTAATACTACATATTATAAACATATTATATGTATTTTGAACCTGAAGACAGTGGTGCAGTGCTCTTAACTTCTCCTCTTCTTTGACTCAAGTTCTCATGTCTGCTTTGTAAGGCTCACCACAGACAGTAGAGGTGAGTTCCTGGGTGTGCAAGAAGGAAAGTGCCAAGAGCAGAATGTATTGTCCTGATTATATTTTATTAAATCATATACAAAATGTACCACGCTCTTATCCCTATGACGTGTGGGATCTGTGTGTTCACAATCTGTGCATTATATACTCACATAACACTGGCAGAGCTAGGAGGCCTCTCACACACTGGCAGCAGAGATAGGAGACCTCCCACAGGCTGGCTTAGATAGGAGACCTCCCACACACTGGTGGAAATAGGAGACCTCCCACAGGCTGGCAGAGATAGGAGACCTTCCACAGGCTGGCAGAGATAGGAGACCTCTCACAAACTGGCAAGAGATAGGAGACCTCCCACAGACTTGTGGCGATGGGAGACCTCTCACAGAACACTGGCAACGATAGACCTCCCACACTGCATCACTTCCAGTGTCACTGGGGTTCCATGGGGTCCCTAGGTGACATTAGGGGTCTGAAATACCCCTGATGTCTCCATAAAGAGGACCTGTCACACCCTATCTGCTATTACATAGGGGGCTTGATAGCTCCCTATGTGATAGCAATAAGGTTAGTGTAAAAAAAAAAAAAAAGTTTAAGAAATAAAAAAAATTAAGAATTATATAAGAAAATGTAAAAAAAAGGAAAGTTCGTGCACGCACATACACGCGCCGATGCAAAAACGAAAATTGCACCACACATTACATATCACCGCGAACGTCAGAGTGAGAGCAATAATTCTAGAGCCATTAATCAATGTTAGCACTAACCTGATGAGCAGTAAAAGCGTTTAAAGTGTCCCAGATGGGAGATTTGGGGTATTGAAGTTTTTTGCGGCTTAACGGGCAAACAAAATTTTAAGGCTTGACATGTTTGGTATCTATTAACCCGATGTGACCCCATCTTTTATATGTTACCAAAAAATTGGGTATTATATTCTGTTTCTGTGAACTAAATTTAATTTTAGTGCTTTGCATCCTAAAAATACTGGTTTGATAAACATTCATGCAACGTTAAAAATTGCAAATAGCATCTATTTATTCTACAGGGCCATTGCTTACGGGTTGGAAGCTGTTTTCTGGCCAAAGGTTCAGATGATAGTGAGAAATGGCTCCAGACAGCAAGTGGTTAATCATATACAGGTTTCTCCCTGTGTGTAACACGTATGAAGCGGTTGGATCTCACAACCACGACCTAGTTTGTGGCCGTCTTCGCTGGCTGTAATAATTATAGCAAACCTCCTTCCGCCTCGCTGATCCCAATTCCCAACTGAAGCCAAGCCAGCAGCTACACATAACATCACACGAAGATCACCCCATTCGGCCCCACCCGGCCCAGCCTAATACACCTCACGTGACCAACTCCGACCACGTGACAGCGGGAGGGCTTTCCTATAGCGCTTTGCAATGTAGGGACTGAGGTGGGCGTGGAATGTGCGGGGTCACGAGGTCTAGCGTGCTCTGACGGTCATTACGTCACCTGATTCCAGGGTCCGTCGGGGGTGAGGAGGTGAACGATTTGACATCCGGGCTGATTTAAGGCACACACAGCTCGCAGGACGGACGATGAAGATGTCGTATGACTCCGCTCACCAGGGCTCTCTGGGCCGAGCCTGGAATCACATGTCCTGGTTGTATTACCAGTACTTACTGGTGACTGCACTCTACATGCTGGAGCCCTGGGAGAGGACGATCTTCAGTATCCTTCCTGGTATAACTACGCTACGGTCTCTGCAGGTGTATGAGTGTATAATATTGTATGTATGTATGAATGAATGACCATGCATGTGCTAATGATTGTATGTGTTGCATCATGTGTGTAGTGTATGGGAAGGGTCAGATCCATTGACATTGTACACTTTGGCAGCTCTTTGGCTTCCTCTGTATAAAAGGATATACATAAAGTACAGATCCAGTCAGTGATGACTTTCAGGCTGGTCTGTCAGTCTGTGATGTGTCATGTCAGACTGGCCTTTTATTTGCATCGGTTCTCCTTTTTCTTTTCTTTTTGTTTCACACAACATATTATTGAGGGGAATGTATCAAAACTGGAGCAGACAAAATCCGGAGCAGCTGTGCTCCAATCAACTTCTCTTTTTCATTATCAAAGCTTAACTGAACAAATGGAAGGAAGAAGCTGATTGGTTGTAATATGCAACTGCTTCAGTTTCCATAAATTCCCCCCATTGTATTCTGATTACAGCGTGCATGGTGTAATGTGAATTGATGAGAGGATGGGAGACACAAGAATCAGATCCCTTCCCAGTACCAGAGCCGACATTATCAATGGAAGTATAGCGGTGTGTGTAGTGTCCACCATCCATGAGTATAGGATTGGTACAGTAACCAGCAGCACTCCGGACCTAGGATAGTCATCACTTGAGCTAACTTATCTGACTTGTGCTGCTTCCAGAAAAAGGTAATGGCTGCTAAGGAATGGCCAGTGTGACACAGCCCTAAGGTTGGGCATTAAAGGCCCAATAATAGCAAGTGACGCTCCTGATTTTTGTTATTATGATTGGGTTCTTCTGAGAATCTGGGGTTGGTAATGAATGACTGTACATGTTGCTGTGCTCCAGGGAAATGTAACAGCATATTATTATGGGGTGGTATCATATACACACACGCAATCCCATGCCATGTAACACTGTACTTAAATTCTCATCACATGGTCAGTTGTAGACAGTTTTTATCTATTTTTTTGAATGGCATTTCATTTTCTCGGTGGCATTTTACAAAAATACTTATTTTAGGGCTTAGTTTTTGGTTGTGCAACATGTGAACTCAGATCTATAAAACGCTTATGGGTCTATTTATAATTTTTTTTTCACACAGGATGCAGCAAACTTTCACACATTTTCTATTTGGAAAATGTGTGGATCCTGGGTGATACTGTTGGTGTCGGCGGGGAGGAGCGGTGCTCAGCGTTGGTGTCGGCGGGGAGGAGCGGTGCCCAGCGTCGGCGGGGAGGAGCGGAGCCCAGCGTCGGCGGGGAGGAGCGGTGTCCAGCGTGGGCGGGGAGGATCGGTACCCCAAGCAAAGGCCCACATCCGGACTGCAGTTTGGAGACCACTGCTCCTAAGCTTTGTTACAATGTGATTGTGATGTTGCCTTCAGTGGGAGGGATGGTATTCAGCGTTGGCGTCCTTGGGGAGGAATGGTGTCCAGCGTTGGTGTCGGTGGGGAGGAACGGTACCCCAAGCAAAGGCCCACATCCGGACTGCAGTTTGGAGACCACTGCTCCTAAGCTTTGTTACAATCGGATTGTAATGTTGCCTTTTAATGGGAGGAATGGTGTCCATCGTTGTTGTCAGTGGGGAGGAACGGTGTCCCATCATGTTGGGGTGATGAACAGTACCCCTTGCAAAGGCCTACACCCTGGGTGCAGTTTGGAGACCCCTGCTCTATGTTACAATCTAATTGTGCTATTGCCTTAGGATTTACCAACCACTCTGTAATTTGTGTTCCATCCGGTGACATGTATTCTATTCATACCCAGACAGGTAGGCTCTTGTACTACTTGCTTATGGTAAATGTAAAGGAGATACCGTAATACAATCAGACTGTGTGTGGACAGCTGAAACTCTGTTGAACATTGTTGAGTGAAATTACTTATGCAAACAATTTACTATTTGCTTTCCTGTAATGTACCTGTGATTACAATGTCCCGGCAGTTGTAATTTGTTTTAGGTGGCACATGCTCCGTGAGGAGGGAGTGGCGTTCAGTTTTCTTCTGAAGACGCATGGTATTCCAGGGGCTAGTTTCTGTCACCTATCATACTGAAAATATGCACGGATGTGATCATGAATCATTTACTGCTCTCTCATTGTGATGTTCTCTTCCTGCCAGGACCTCTGCTGATAGTGGTGTTAGGCTCCATTCACTCATACTGGTAGCGGTTTCCATGCAGAAAATGACGTGGCACGAAATCTTGTGTGTTGGCGGCTATTATTACAGCTGGAAGGCACAGAATCCGGCCAAAAAATCGCTCTTGGACTTTTTTGCTGGACGCGTGTTTTCGTACCGTGCGGGCCCAAGTGTGAACAGCACGCATTGGAATTTAATTATTTTTTATGTTTAGCGCATTGGTACGTGCGGAAAACCGCTAATGTGTGAACGGAGAATAGGATTTCTAAACTCTTCCAACACGTTTCTTCAGCATTAGCTTATTTTATCTTCTCCCGTAGTCGGTATATGTGTTACATTGCTGACCTTCTAAAAATGCTAGCTAGCTGTCTATTCAGCTGATCTTTCTTCTGTAGATTAGGAACTTTAAAATTCCATATTTGCACAATTCTGGGTTAAGGACTTAGAATGTACCGCAGTCGGAGGATCAGCATGATAACCAAGCAGCTGGTGTTTTCAGAGTGGCGAGCCATGGGCGGCTTCCATGTTGATCTCCTTACAGGTTTCCTTTGGTGCCCAACTGCAGGCAATAATAATGAATATACATTGTTACCCTCTAGCTGATGTAGAATATAGTGTGAGCTTTTAGGGGATGATCTAACAGAGTAATATTTCACTTCAGCCTGCCGCTGGTGCCTGCTGTCAGAATACAAATGCAGACGGGAGATGAAGATTGTGGATGGGGGGAATCAAGTGAATTTTGATGGCCAGCTTTAGGACGCACTGTACTCCACACAAGCCTCGGGAGTTCCCACTTGAATATGACCGGTCTGCGGCTGCACTAACGTTGGATTTGTTCAGCTGTAGCCTGTGTCACTCGGGTGTTGAGCCAAGAGGTTTATTGTATACAATACACTTCTAGTATACGAACATTGACAGCCAGGCTCTGATATTTACCCTCAAGGGGAGAGATCTGGTATGTTGATCATGTACACAAAGACTAAAGTAATCCTGCTCAATCCTAAACCAGTTGGATTTCTTTTGTCTAAAAGGACTGTATAAGGCTCAGGCAGGTGTAATATTTATCTCCATCTAGGCTGTGTTATCACTTTTATTAAAGAGGAACTGTACCCATATTTTTTAAATGACACTAAACACACCTTAAATCTGGCCATAAAAACTATAGATTTTCCATCGGAAATTTTTGTTGCTCCCAAGAACCCTCTTTGCTTTCTAGCTCAAATAGCCCATCAAGCACAGACCAATGTTGATTTCGATAATAGTTTGTTAGCAATACTCATACTCATTTTGTCGCTCAACAGAACGGATTTGCGTTTGCACATGTGTAGTGTTACTGCTGTGATTTTTTTTTTTTTCCGTAAGATTCGTTTTTTCTAGCCTGACCGAGGAAATTTGTCCAGAAGTACAGTAATTAAAATTGTTGGTGTCCGATCAACTGATCGACTTACCATTCAAAAGACCATTAATGAACGATTTCCAAACTAAAATCAATAGGTGGATGGGCACCTTTTAGAAATGTTTAGGAATGACAATCTGCACACAGATACTTCTAGATAATTGCAGGATTTTTATACCTTCATTTTTATTTTCCTCCCCATTCTTCTCCTAGTGGCCATTTTTACAAGGGCAGATTAATACAGCTCCCTTTACTTCCTGGAACTCTGGTGACTAGGACATGTGACCATGCACATCATCTCAGGGGAAGAAAATGCCTTTCCCTGAGATCTCGTGAGATTACAGATGAGATTTCCCAGCAATACACCTTCCCGGGATGCAAGGCTTGGGCACAATTACATCCCTTATGCCCAAGAGGACCAGGAAGTGGAAAAACAATAGTTGTAAGCAAAAGAAAAATGTTTGTTTTAACTAATGAATGTAAGATTGTTTCACATCAGCATCCTGAGCTGCATGTTGAGGTGATTTTTTTTTTTTTTTTAATGAAAGGGGGTAAAGGTCCACTTTAAGTGGCTACTAATGTTATATCGGCATCTTCAGAAAACAGATCATGGCAATCTATATATTTTACAATAATGAGATTTTATCTGAACGTAGTTGGAGTGTCCTAAAGCACCACATCTATCCTGTCAGCACGTCCTCCCGTCACCCAAAGCTCAGTATACCGCGAGCTACAGCTCGCGGTATACTGAGACGCCAGAACGGATCCCGACAATTATGTCTGCATCCACCCAGCATCCACCCAGCTGCGTGAGTGACAGCTGGCTCTGCCTATCTAGAAGAAGAGCCAGCTGTACCCGCCCCTTCCCACGTCCGTTCCGCCAGTCAGCGCTGGAGGATCGGAGGGGGGAATCCAGTCCCTCCCCTGTCACGGCCCTCTGCCGAAACAGGATCGAGAAGTGAGCGAGCGCCAGTATGTGTTTGATCACTTTCCGATCTACTGAGCCGACCTGTGACAGTTTCATTGTCACAGGTCAGCTGAGATTGTGAAAATCACTCGCCTCATAATTCTACTTTAATGAGCGAATCCCCCTGCCTCTGCGCGGCTATTGTATTCTGAATGCTGAAGCTGTCAGAATACCGATAGGCTGCAGTCACTGTTCGGCTGACTTGTTTCCGCCCAGCTCCCTTTGATTTTGTTTGTGTAGTGTGTTGAGCTGGGTGTTGTCACCAGGGCCACACACGGCTCTAATTTCAGAATCACAGTAATTGGCTGAAATTCGAGCTGTGTATTTCAAGCTTAAGAAAGACGTGACATAACCTCTACTACTCTGTAGGTTGAACTTGATGGACTTGTCTCTCTTTTTTTTTCAACCTGACTAACTATGTAACCTTTTATTTCCCGGATCTCAGATCAGCTACTCATTCTCGGGTACTGCAATGTGAAAAGGTTCTGCTATACTGTCCTAGAACTAGTATGTAACAGTATGATTTCTGGGGATAGCGGCTTCCTTCAGAGCTTTCTCATGGAGCTGTTTTAGGTGTGTGAAAATTTTCCTTTAAAAAGGAATGAGTTCATTTTTACGTGACACATTTAAATAATTACAGTGTGTTACTGTTGTGTGCAAAGTTCTCTAGAAGGTTATGTTGTAAATCCTGATAAGCAAGCACTAGGGCAAAGGTAATGTACAGCTTTACTTTTGTCGTTTCTCCACCCACCTTTTGTGAAACGCCATTATGAGATTTATTGCTTGGAGCAGAGACTATAAAAAGGATCTCTGATGGTGGGATACAGATGCTGCAGAAGACCTCCATGGTTTCATTAAACATAGCTTATAGGTAACCTTCATACACATGCTGAATATTGGTGGGGACAAGTGTAGTTGTTGCCCAAATGCCCCCCTTGTTTGATCAGTGTATGTAATGTATTTGAATAGTCCTGTGCAGAAAAAGACTTACAATCAGCCAATTGCTGCATTTCAACACTGCGGCCTAAAGCTACATGCAGCTATATCTGTAAAAAATAAGTCAAGGCAACTGGACTTGCTGTATTTTTCTTGAAGACGTTCCACTGCTCATCCAACCAGCTTTCTCAATTCAGAATGAGTAGTACAAAAAATTATCTGGGAATAAATATGGTGAATGTTGCTGCAATCCACATAATCTGTTAGTCACAACCAGGTGTTGAATGCATTTGCATAATTGGAGTCTAGGAGGCTAGAGAGAGGTGTTAAAACAGCATTGTATGTATGTGACAATAGATGTCTCGACACACTTCACACGCGCACACACACACACACACACCAACCACACACACTTCACACACATGCAGCTGCTCTGTCTAAACAGTCCAGACTTTTAGGTGGTGTGGAAAACCCACTTACATAATTACCAGCACTGCTTGCTGTATTTTTTGCGTTCGCAGTGGAAGAGAACGCTGGCTAAGTTTTGCCACGCGTCCGATCGCACTGCGGGGGGGGGGGAGCGTGGAAGCTGTGTGTATCTGTCTACAAACACACAGACACGGCAAGGAAAGCCACTGCTTGCTCTCCGCCTCTTCCTTCTCCCAGCTAGTAGCTGGGATCTTGAACTAGACATGAGATTCAGGGAAGCCAAGCTGAGAGAGTTGGAGCTGTTTGAGAAAATGCAAGTGCTTAGGCAAAAATGTAAAGAATGGGCAATGTATATCTGTTTGATCTGGATTCATTATTGAAAACAAGTTTGAGAGTTTAATATTACTTTAAATGTAATCTGCCAGCAAACCAGGGACGTGCGGTCAGGTGCGGCAGAGCCTCCCCTAGAATTATGGAGGAAAAAGCTGCCTGCTTCATGTCCATTCAGATCGGCATCTAACAGGTTACACAGCAGGGAAATTCTCCCCGCTGTGTAACCTGTCATGGACGGAGCGCCTCAGCAGTGAGGGACAGGGAGGCTCCTCCCTGTCTCCTCCTTTACACTAGCTTGGGGGCGGAGCTGCGGGGGGCTGGGGAATGCCTCACCCGGAGCAAGAAGTACCGCACGTCACTGCAGCACACACTTGTGATTGTATGCCAACCAATGACTGTAATAGTAGCAAACCGTAAATATTTGGGATTCATGATCTCATATGATCCGTGTCTGTTATTGCACTCGCTGACAAAAGCGTGGTGTGGAAATGGGAGGTCCTTCTGCCATTTGAGGGTTCTCACAGCCATGTGTTTTTTGTATGTAGTATTTTGATAACACTCTGGTGACGGGTTCTCCCAAGTCTATGCAATATAGGTATGTATGGGACACCTGCCAGTATTGAACACAACTGAAATTAACTCTTGTTTCTTCTTGAATTCCTTAACCCTCCTTGCTCAGATTCCATGTTGGTCTCCATTGTTGGAATGGCTCTGTATACAGGATATATATTTATGCCTCAACACATCCTTGCGATTTTGCACTACTTTGAAATTGTTCAATGACAGTGAAGAGCCTTGCTTGGCAAAGGCTTTAAGGACAGAGCGAAATTATTGGGGCATTTCAGGCATGGAAGATCCAGAAGATGGCACCAGTGCTTGAGCCTGCCAAGACGCCAAGGTGAAATGTGCGGGATCTCGAGTGGAGTTGCCATGATCTCACCCCCATTGATGAGGGCATTTGGAAGCTCTTTTTAAATTCTCAACCACCATTCTTCCAACAAGCCTTGGGCTCTGCAACACATTGTCTTTCTAGCAGGGTTTCTAGCAGTATTTTTGTTGTGTTTTGTAATAACAGCAGCTATTTTTAATATTGCACTGTATATGTATTTTATTTAGTTGCTTATTTTTAAAGATGGCAGAATACAATTTGTATATAGCAATGCTAGTAAGCTTTGTACACAATTTCCTCATGTGACTGAAACACTTCTCACTTGTACATCTGTTGTTGTAATAACACATTTTGAATGCTGAACACTTTGTCATTTTGTTTTCCCAACAAGCTAAAATGCAAATAGATGATGTTTACTCTGCACAGGTGTTTTCAGCATAAATAAATCTTTTGTGACCTAAAAATAAGTTGTCTATTGAATTATGAACTCTCCCTTCCTCTTCTCTTGTCTGCAGAAAAGATATCTTAACCACTTCATGACTGGCAGGTTTAATCAACATTCCTGTCCAGGCCATTTTTCAGTGTTGTCATAGTTTGACAATTACTTGGTAATGCAACCCTACTCCAATGAAATTCATATACTGTATTTTTCACTCCATAAGACGCACTCCCCCCCCCCCATTTGTACATTTAGCCCTGCTCCTGACAAGCAGAGCTAAATGTATAGTGTGGAGCCGCCACTCGTTTTTATACAAGTGATCTGATTTAGATCACTTGTATGAAAGGAGCAGCGGCGATCCTGTCCTTAAGAATAAAAACTTATCTTTGGTGGCACTGGTAATGGGTGTACCAACACTAATACAGCATGGCACTGGTTGTATATGTATGCGCAGTACAGAAAAGGTGAACTAGTTGTTCGGTGTTCTCTGGGTGAACTAAGTTGCCAAATTTCGCCCATCCGAACCTTCAACTGTTGCAGCCAGAAGTTATTCATTTATAACTACTGTTGCTACATGACAGCTTCTTAGCCCAAGGCCAGCTTCTCCCTTCACAGAGCCCTTCTCGAGCGTAGAAACATCATTCTCATTATATTCTGGACACACCTGGTATACTATTCTCATTTACGTAGGAGGGCTAGATAGCTGGTGGCCCCCCTTATTTTAAAGGGGTTTCTAGATTCCGAAAAGTCCCTCTCCTGCAGAGCCCCACATCCACTAGGCCAGGGATGTCAGGATGAGACCCTTGTCCAGAAGGTATCACCCTAGCAAGGCAACCTCCCAATGCTAAGGACATGTATGAATGAGTACACCTTGTTACCGATTCACTAAAATTCACGTCCCCTCTGGAGCATCCTGTCGTGCTACAGAAGGGAGGGTTTGGAGACATGTAGTTAGGAAGATGGACATACAGTAGATTGGATAGTCCGACTGCTGGGTAAGAAGTTGTATGGATCAGCTACAGTATAAGTGAAGCACAACAGATACAGCTTCCTGTATAAAGGTTCCCATACACCTGCTGATTTATCATACGATAATCGTCAGGCGTATGGGCAGCGTGCGACCGCATCTACTGTACGGTCGCACGACTTTTGTCATACGAGCACACTGGAAATCATGCCGAAAATCGTCCGATTTTCAGCGGGTTGGTAGCATGCTCGGAAGACAAAAGCCGCACGGGCCAGTGTTTGTGGGCTACTGTTATCAGTGGATTCCCCACATGTAATCTATTACTGCCCCTATATACGAGATGAGAGGTAAAAGAATGGCAATACGTAAGCAACAATACACTAAACTTTTCTCAACATATTGCCATGAAGCAGGTGAGCATACCTCAGCTGCTTTGATATAAAGGTATGGGGGAAACGCAGAGACCCCCCCTGGGCTACTATGGTTCACAATTGGACTTGGCGCTGTTCGCTCAGCCTCCTTGCCTTTCGGCAGTGGCAACTACTGCTATGATGGTTAAAAGGGGAGGCTTTGTTCTGGGAAATCATCTGATGGTCTTGGTGCCCAACTCTGTGGATACAGTGTTGTTAAATGCTCAAAATAACCTCAACATTGGTGTTGTCTAATAATTGAGTGGTTAAGCATTCTGTCCTAATACATTGGTTCTGTCCAATAATTAGGCAGGTTTGGGCTGAGGACACTGGGATTAGGGTTCCAGTGGAGAGGAAGCTGTTTTCTGACGGAGGTACCCAGTCGGGGTACCAGGTGGTCCGTCACATAGTGTTCATCCTCAGAAGTGTTTGGAGCTCCAATTTGGAAGCATGCTGATATGGACAGTTCTTAATTACCTTTACCACTATGTTCCATGGTGTAACACGTGTCAAAAGGAGCGATGATTTGGTTTTGATAGTGTCATTGGTATCAGTGTTGATGCAGTGTCATGTTTGTCTGTCTAAACTTTATATCTGTAAAGCACCTCAGAAACATTTGCCTAAAGAACTCTGTACCCTTTCATGAGGCTAAAGATAATTTTATATAATTAAAGGTGGCCATACACTTTACAACCATCGCAAGACCTTAGTCTTGCGATGGTTGTAAAGTAATTTAAAAAAACGTACGATCTGCCCATCTTGGACAGGCAGATCGTACTCTCGATCATCGCAAGCCCGCCCTCCATGCTAAAGGGCAGTGTGCGCGTGTGGCATCTGTCTCCCGAGCACCGTTCAAACCAGCCGAAAATCGTACGATTTTTGGCTGGTTTTCTAGCGTGCTCCTTAGACAAAAGACGTGCTACCGTACAGTAGAAACGGTCACACGTCTTCGTTCACACTGCTCGATTCTCATACGATCGCGGGATTTCCCACGATTCTCGTACGAGAATCGAGCAGTGTATGGGCACCTTAATTGTGAGCTGTATGAGCATGTGCTTGCATGTGTGGAAGTTTTCCCTGGATGGATAGAGGCGTGGTCACTTAGAAAAGGAATAGCCCTGGCTGCTGCCCGAAATAGTTTGTGGCTTTAGGTAGATGACAATGGCAGACTTGGAAATGCATTATCAATTGAATACCATCTGTTTTACCCATGACAAGTGGTAAGTTTGAGAGTCATAACTGTACTTTGAAAATTAAAATAGTGAGCGGAGCTAAAATGGTCTGAAGCCTTTGTTTTTAGACTAATGTCTATAAGGTACATACCCCTCAGCCTCTAAACGTATCTCCTTTTGAGATACTCTTTGGGGAAACTCCTAAAAATGCACTTTGTTCACTTCATGATGCTCATATTTCTCTTGCTTAAGGAGCTTTTGAATGAACTTGAATATGTTTGCATCATACACTTACTTTTCTTCATTGCCTGATCCTGGACAAAGGACATTCTCCATTGGCTCAGTTATGGAGACTAGAGAATGTTAAAGTAGCACCTTGAAAAGCCTCTGCAGCCCTGCTGGGATGGGTCTTTCCAGGTTCTGTTGGCTATTGCTACATCAGTCAAACTTCTCGGTAAGCCCACCTGGATCCACACTCATCTCACTCTTATGACTTCAGCTCTCCAGGTGACTGTGTTACCTGCCACAGAGGAGTCACCACTTGTTGAGAGAGCTAAGCCAGATGGAACCTATCAACGAGTGTTGGGCTCGATGTTCGACTTGAACAATCGCTAGTTCGTGCGCTTGGCGAACACACAAACTATCAGCGCCACAAAAAGGCACTGCGCACCGTACAGTGCCTTGTGAATCCCTGATTGGTTAAAGCCTTGCACCTGACCACAGGAGGAGGAAGAGGATTATGGCAGCCATGGGGGCATTGAAGCAGAGGATGACATACGGCAGTCCTCAAGGGATGGTTTTCAGTCCCCAGAAACCCAAGGAGTAGTAAGTGGCTGGGAGGAGGTAGACACTGGTAGGTTACCACTTCATGAAAGAGGTGCTTCTGAGGCTTCGGTTGGTCAAAGGAAGAGGAATGGAGACTGATGCCTTTAAAACATTTTTTTAGTCCTCAGCGCCCAGGGATGTTAACTTTAGGCACCCATCGGCAGCATCTGCATCATATGGTGCAGGATTACCTAGGGCAAGAACAGACATGGAGAGCTTTCCATGAGACAATCCACTGGCTTACTGGGTCTTGAGAATGGACCACTGGCCAAAACTTACCCAATATGCAATGGAGCTACTGGGCTGCCCTGCATCCAGCGTGCTTTCTGAACGGACATTTAGGGCTTGTTCACACCAAGCGCAGAGCAGTTACAGACCAGATCAAAACTGCGTCTAATGTATTCCAATGGTATTTTTAGCTCCAGTTCACATGGCAGCGTTCCGTTCTAGGTCAGGTAAAAAGAAACTGCAGCAGGCCCTATTTGACCTGCTCTGGAACGCATCAAAAAACACATGTAAACACATCACAAACGCAATTCAATGCAAAAAATTAACCATAAAGAAAAAAACAACTCTATGGTCATCTGTGATGACCTAATCTTCCTTGGTCACTTCCTGTCTGTGGAACAATAAAAACATAACAAGCAAACATTACTACCTAGATATCGACATGCGGGTGTATGAATAAAAACTTGTCGGGGTGTGCACGAAGGTCTGCATATAAAGTCCCAAACTGGCCCTTTGGATCTCTTTCACTCATCAGTGGGTGCACCCAAAAATGACGTCCCCTTACAGCACTTTGGAGTAGCAGTATAACCATCACCAGGAGCATGCCTTCATCCCATGGATCCATGTTGCAACAATTTTACATGTCAGACAAGGTCAGAGGAAGCAGGAAATAATTAGAACAGCTAATGAGAGGTCAGAGGTAAAAGGAAATTACCTCATAACATTGTTAGCTTCCTGAAAGAAAAAAAACAAACGCTCTGGAACGCATCAAAAACGCGTCTAAAGACTAGCGTGCGTGTGCAGAAACGCGAGCAGATCTGCTCTGCATTTGGTGTGAACAAGGCCTCAGTGCTGCTGGTTGTTTTGTGACAGATAAAAGAGTGGGTCTGTCCACAGAGTCCGTTGACCGGCTGACATTCATCAAAATTAATCAGTCCTGGATCTGCATCAGCTAGCAATCCCTTGATGCAGATATAACCGAATAAATTTGTCCGGGATCCGTGGAAGACCACCTAACTTTGTGGGTGATTATTCTATCTTTAAGTAACGTTTTTGGTTTAGTGCGCCACTAACACCCAAGGCCCAATATTTCCGCATCCGCATGTGACCGGTGCATATCATTTTTTACAGCAGGGCCCAATCCCTGTGCTCACCAAGAGTAACTGTGAGGGGTTAAAGTGTGCAGACAACACCAACACCCTTAGCCCAGTTTATTTTTGGCACCTGTGTGACAGAAGCATACAATTTGAATTTTTTTATAGCACGGCCCGTCCCTGCGCTCACCAAGAGTAAAAGGTGCCCATACACCTTACGATCATACGATAATCGTATGCGATCGACAATCGTAACGTGTGAATAGAGTGCCTGACCGATAGTACTGTACAATCGTACGACTTTTGACGGTCAAGCATGTTTGAAAACTTTGCTAGATCGTACGATGTTCGCATGGTTGGTGGCTTTTCCGTCAGTCAAAAGTCATACGATTAACACTGCGCATGCGCAAACAAAATAATTGCAGTCAATTACCGCAAGTCATCCAGGTGGTTTTTTTTTAGCTACCGCTGATTGAACCTTTCGATAATCGGGGCAGGATGGGGTCGTCGTACGACGGTTTGATCATCGGACGAAAAGTTTTGCCCGATAATCGTAAAGGTGTATGGGCACCTTAACTGTGAGGGGTTACAGTGTGGAGGCACCAACACCAAAGGCCCATTTTTTCCACACCTGTGTGACCGATATGTATGTATGTATGTATGTATGTATGTATGTATGTATGTAATGAGAATTTTCAGAGCAGGGTCCAATCCTGCACTCGTCAAGAAAAAAGCTGCCCATACACCTTACAATTATCTGCAGATTTTCTGTGGTCAGATACAAAGGTGCAACAGATTCCTCCATCTACACTTAACTGTGTGGATGGAGTAATCTCCACCTGGGCCAATCTGTTGCACTTTTTCCATCTGACCACAGAAATTCTGCAGATAAATTGTAAAGTGTATGGGGACCTTAACTCTGAAGGGTTACGGTGTGAAGGCACTGCCAACACTAAAGGCCCAATTTTAAAGTTCTCTGGTAACCCTCACCTTTTTGCTTTTACCCATATCTGTTTTGATGTTTTGCTGCAAGAAGGGGTTAACAGCAGGCTGGGCTCAGAGTGCACTCTCAAAACACTTGATGAACTGAGGCCATCCAAGCCACTCCACTGGTATACACATTTTATTGTATGCGATCAGTTTACCTGGTGAAAATATCTGGTACAACAAAACCTGTTTAATTACAACGAGCAGATAAATATCAGTGATTTCAGATTATTTATTCTAAAAAGGTGCCCATACACCTTACGATTATCGGACGATTTTCGTATGCGATCGACTTTTCGTCCGATACCGTATGTGTGCATTGCAGTGTCTGACCGACATTACTGTACAATCGTACGACTTTTGACGATCCAGCATGTTTGAAAACTTTGCTCGATCGTACGATTGTCGTAAGGTTGCTGGCGTTTCCGTCCGTCAAAAGTCGTACAATCTACACTGCGCTTGCGCCAACGCATTTCGTCCAGGTGCTTTTCGTTAATTACGGCTAAATTAATCTTGCGATCATCGGGGCAGGATGGGGCTGCCGTACGAAAATCGAAAAGTTTCGTCCGATAATCGTAAGGTGTATGGGCACCTTGAGAAATTCTAAACAGTAAGAACATAAGCATTCATTATGTAGCCAAAAATACATTTCCTGCGATTATATGTCATGAGAACTGACACCGGAAAATATGTTTTCAGGGAATGTAATATCTTATTTAGGTTCTGTTTTCATAGGCAGAGTTCTGGTCGGCATTTCTTAACTCTCATCTTCACTGGAAGAATATTATTTGCAGGCAAGGGTCAGGTTTTCCTGAAGAATTTGTAATAAACCAATCCAGCAAGAATAGCAAATTCCAAGGTGACGATAATGGAAAGCAAAAGCTTGTTTGTCACAAGTCTGGAAAGGAACATAAAAAAAAGGTTTAGACATGAAAGCGTCCTCTGAAGTCATTCCATACAACAAACACTTTACAAAACGATTTTCAAATCCCTTAATAAAAAAAAAAATAGGGATTTTTTTTTTTAATAACACAGAGAAGTCCACAACTCCCACTGCTTGCTTACTTAGGTAATAGTAAGATTCTCACCCAGCTACAGTACTTAGAAAAATAAACATTAACCACTGAACTGAGAAGATTCATTGAAACCACTGTGTTTTAGGGTCATGCCACAACACCAAATCTAACCAGCAGATGGCAATTCAGGCACAATTTGTAACAGCAGCTGATAAACCCTGGGAGCAGTAGTAAGTGGGGGCGGGCTCTGGATTTCATTGCTACAAATATGCAGTTTCTATTTTTTCCTGTAAAATCTGTTTAAAAATGTCTCATGTATAGATTGCCCTAAAATCATAAAGACAAAATGTAAACCTTAAAACGTTCACTTCTTGGAGGCCAAGGAGAATATGTTTAAATATGACTGCACATACAACTATCTACTCCTAATGCTTTACTCTAGTGACAGTGGCCTTTTGCATGCAGCCCCACTGTTATTCACACATACACTAGATTGCCAAAAGTATTGGGACACCCCTCCAAATCATTGGATTCAGGTGTTCCAATCACCTCCATGGCCACAGGTGTATAAAATCAAGAACCTTGGCATGCAGACGCTTCTACCAACATTTGAGAAAGAATGGGTCGCTCTCAGGAGCTCAGTGAATTCAAGTGTGGTACCGTGATAGGTTGCCACCTGTGCAATAAGTCCATCCGTGACATTTCCTTGTTACTAAATATTCCACGGTCAACATTTATTATTGGCCAATTTTTTGGTAAAATATAAAAGATAGGTTCACGTCGGGTAAAAAGACACCAAACATGTCAAGCCTTAAAATTGCGCGCGCCCACGAAACCTCAAAAAACTACAATAGTCAAAATTGGCCATAGGCGACGCTTTAAAAGCTTTTACCGCTCATCAGTTTAGTGTTATCAGTGATTGATGGCTCGAAAATTATTGCTCTCACTCTCGATGTTCACGGCGATATGTAACATGTGTAACGCAATTGTTTTCGCACGCTGGGGCATCTGACGCGTATTTACGTTTGCATGTGCGTAAATGTGGGGATTTTAAAAATTTTGGGGTTTTTAAAAAAACTTTTTTATATGTGACTGTTATTATTTGTTTACATTTTTGGCATAGTGTTATTGCTATAGCACAGGCACACTGACAGGTCCTCTTTATGGAGACATCAGGGTTCTCTAAGACCCCTAATGTCACCTGGGGACATAACGGCGAGTAACGGCTGTTTACAATGGACAGGTTTTTCCTGGCCGGGGGCGCACGCGAGCAGAGAAAAAAAGCCGTCTATTTATGGCAACCGCCAATGTTAGTTTGCCGTCCGCATTATTAAAACCTCAAAAGTGCGTAGCTAAATACACTACCTAGTCCAAAAAAAAAAAAAAAAAAAGTCACACACTAATATTTTGTTGGACCACCTTTAGCTTTATTTACAGTAGGCATACGGTGTGGCAACATAGTTTAGACCATAACCCCATTGAGAGCCTTTGGGATGTGCTGGAGAAGACTTTACAGTGTGGTCTGACTCTCCAAGGGATGGAAATAAATGTTGGGACATTGCATAAGCTTACTGAAACAATGCCACAATGGATGCCTGCTGTAATTGAAGCTAAACGCGGTCCAAGAAAATATTAAAGTCTGTTTTTTGGCTAGGCAGTGTATTTAGCTATGCATTTTTGAGCTAAAACTTGCAGGTATAAAATCTATTTAGAAAAGGTTAGGAAAACAAAATCAAAAAGGGGGTCTGTATATGCTTGAAGACTTAACCCTTTCGCTGCCAAGCCCTCCGGAACATTTTTCAAATCAGCTGGCCAAGCCATTTTTGAATTTTCTGCAATTTTTTCCTATTGATTTGATTTTCAACTGCTGCGTTGCTAGATGCACTGGGCGTCGGGCGAGAGGGATTTGCTCCATAAGACGTACAGACATTTTTGCGTCTTATGGAGCGAAAAATACGGTATATGTGACTTTAGGTAAGAAGATGGGTCAAAGGTGGATGGGAAAAAAAAAAACACTTTTTGACTGGAGTTGGGCTTTAATAACAGTATGTAATCCGACTTTGTAGTTTTCAAAGCCAGCAAAGAAATGCCACGGAATAAAGAGGTTATATAGCTACAAACAAGCACGATAGCTTCTTAAATCATAAGCACGATTGCTTCTTAAATCATAAGCATTATTTCATAAAATATAATGTTCATGTTTGTCTGAACTGACTAATCTTTTAAAAAACAAAAATGAAAACACAAGAGTGAGCCTGAGTGATGTGCATATATTTCAGACTTACAGCAGCTACTTAACTTACTTTCTAGATATGGTCCGCAGGATCTTCCTACTTTTGCTTAAATTTTCCCCTGTATTTATTAGCTAAAAGAGAAGATAAAATGTATAGTTAGATATAAAATAAGTGTGACCACTTATTTAAGTTGCAGACAGTGGACATCTTGTTTATTTTATCTAGAACCAGAGCATGGAAGAAACTTACGCACAGTCAATCAAAAGAGCTACATGAATTTTGGAATACAGAATATGATATAATAGAGTTACAGAAGGGGGGAATAGTAGAAGGTAAACATCACAAGTACTCACTGACCACAATATCAGGTATGCCTGCTTGTTAATGAAGCTATGCAAACCAGGAATCAAGTGGCTGCAGCTCCTACATACAGCAAAGAATGCAGACACTATCAGGGTTATTCACAAAAAGGGTGAAGAGTCTGGGGAAGGCAGGAGCAGTGATCTAGGACAACATAGCTGATTTGGTAATATTATCCAATGCAGCTCACTTTCCAGTCCAGCTATGTTGTCCTAGATTGTTCACTTCTCCTGCCTTCTCCAGACTCTTCACCCTTTTGTGAATAACCCTGTATATATGGCTATTGCCATTATTGGTAATGTTTTGGTTTTTTTAAACATGTAAACATTATGGAAGAAATCATTTGCTTCTATTTGGGAATCAAAGAGTGAAACTGCTTCAGTGAGGCCAGTAGTAGTTAGTGACAAAACTACTTATGTTGTAATATGTTTTGGTACTTATCCCAGCAACTTCTTCAGTTCTAATGAGTGTTAACATTATAAAATAGTACTCTGCTAGCTTTGTTTGCTGCAGCCTGGCATTGCATGCTATTGTTTAATCTGCAGTCAAATATGACGCCCAAATCTTTTTCTACTTCTGACTTTCCTGTTGGTGCTCCCATTAACGTGTAGTCTGCATGCCTGTTTTTAGCCCCAAAATGCATTACTGTACACTTTTCAACATTAAACCTCATCTGCCATGTAGTTGCCCACTCCCCTATTGTATCCAAGTCCTCCTGTAATGTTATGTCTAATCTCGAGTTGGTTACCCTGCTATATCCACCAGTTCCAGAATAAAGTCCTGAGTCCTCCCAATGAAACCTGGTAGAAAGGCAATATTGCTCTACGTTAACATGCACGTCTTACTTACTCGGTCCTTTGTTCTTTCCAGTTGCTCTCTCTGACCACCAAGCACTTCCACAATATCGTGACCAATGGCATCTGTTTCAGCAGCTAAATGGTGAGATCTAGCTATACTGTCTGTACCACTGTTCAAGCTTTTGCTGGAATCAAGGAGAAGTGTTCTTTGTGACCGAAAAGCATTCTATAAAAGAAAAAAAACAACTAAATATGCAGCTAAAGTACATATAGTGCCTGCCAAAACATTTGTAGTTTTGTTCATCCAGTTGTATAATCCAGGTTTCCTAGACATCACAACCATGCTGGCGACCCCACGTTTTTTCGCTATATTTAAGCAACGCAGCTTAGTTACCAATCTATCCCCTAGTCTGCTGACTAGACAATAAAGAATCAACACACTGATGAACAATGCAGGACTTCTGAGCCTGCATTGTAGTTGAGAACATCAGCTGTCCTTAGCTACCCAGAAGAGCAGGGGTGGGGAACTTCAGGTCCTCCAGCTGTGGTGAAACTACAAATCCCATGATGCATCTGTCTCTGGGAGGCATGCCTGTGGCTGTGAGAATCTTGCAATGCCTCATAGGATTTGTAGTGTCACCACACTCGGAGGGCCAGAGGTTCCTCACCCCTGCAGTAGAGTATAGACCATCTATAGAAATTAATGGGCCGTGGCGAACGTGCGTGCGCACTAGAGAGACGCAGTGAGGATGTTTTGCCTGCAAAACTGTGCTGCACTGTTCAGAGAAAGGGGCTGAAAATGTGATCCTCTAACCAGTTACTGAAATGAAATGTGAACTGGAAATCAGAAGGTGTTCCTCCCACCTTGCGAGACACATGTCAGGGCAAACCTTCATGTACAGCTGGATTTCTTTGTGCGGAAAAAGGGATTAGATCACCGGAGAAGTCTTTTTGAAGCCTTACAACCTTGTGCACCGTAAAGGAAGGACCATACTTCCTTTGAGTTTGGTTAGCAGCAGGGGCTACCCCTTAGTGGTGCTTTTTATTTGTATACAAATAGTAATCAATAGTCACTATTTGTATACAAATGACAATAGAGCTGGAGGGGACACATCTTGTGGCCTTTTCGGAACAACTACTGATTACATTATTTGGGAGCCCAACGTTCCCTGAAGCCTTCATTGTTAAGTGGGTCCATCAACAACTAAGGTAAATGACTCAACTACCGTGGCGCTGTGCTTTGGGCAACGCATAAGGGCCCACTTACGTATGAAAATGCCTCTATTTCTTTCTACTTGGATATTTCTTTGGAAGTACATCGCCAACACACGTTATTCTCCTCTGCTAAGTGAAAGCTCAAATATCTTACTATACCCTATGCCATGGTCCACCCGGCAAAACTCAGAGTGGAAATTGCTTTTCTTTCAGTTCCCAGAAGAAGTGAATTGGTGCGCTTGTTGCTTCAGGTCTTTTTGTGCTTTGTTCAGTCTACTTACCCTGAGCTTGGGGAAGCTGTTTGCTTTGCAAATTCATGTACCTCTCTACTGAACAATGTTCTTCAAAATCTTTCTCTGGGCTTCCTTATGGTCAGCAGCTGCACTGTATTTATACCCATGTTGGACATCGCCCATTGTTGAAGCCCTGGATATATGGTTTTATGCCTCAGATCCGAGTGTGGACCCTTTTTTTATCTTCACTTTCTTACCCCAGTTGCTGTACTTGGGAATCATATTGCCTACACAACTAGCCACAGTTGCTAGCCAATATTTCCGGATTCACTTTGCTCCATATATTTATGTGTGCAGGGTATTATGGTCCCTGCCCCCAAGGAGTCATCATCATGTAACTCTATACTTACGGTGTACTGATGCAGTGGTGCTGATGTCATAACACGAGGAAAAGTACGAAAATAAAAAGCAAAAACATACTGCAGGTAGGAGACTCCAGAGGATGAGGGAGGCATGGAGCCTGGAGTTGGGCTTTAAGTTTGGTTGTTATGGAGTTAGATTAAATTCCGTTTTACATGTTGTACAAAAATAAAGACTGATTTGAGCAACATAACTGTTGACTAGGCATTAAAAAATAAATGATAAAAAGCAGTGAAAAATATGATGCATATAATATGTAAAACCTTACATTTTGATCTTCCACATGTGCAAATCCTTTCTTGCTGTTCTCATACGTCAGTCCAGTAGACATGTTTTTTGTTTCTGTCTGCAATTTAGCAAGGGCTCGTCTATACACATGCAGCTTGCTTATCATCTCTCTTTGAAAAGATGGTGGAGCACTTTTTAGTTCCTTTTCCATTTGTATAAGCTTAAAAAAAAAAAAAAAAAAAAATT